TCCTACAGGAAACTAATAATTAGTAACCTCAATTTAGCCATTAGATACAGTGAATTCAATTAGAATATGGTTGGATAATTAAAAGCTGGTTTTATTTTCCTTAACCCCTTAAGGACCAAACTTCTGGAATAAAAGGGAATCATGACATGTCACACATGTCATGTGTCCTTAAGGGGTTAAAGTGCGCTGTTCAGTTTATAGCATTGCTTTTATAGTTTAGGTTTGTGGGTTCTGCATTCTATAATGTTTAGAATACGTCTCACGAAGAAAGATGTGTGCTCAAACTTATCGCATGCTCAAAGCATCTATAGGTGATGTAATAAATTATTCTAATTTGTTTCTCAGAATCAGATGTGTATCGTAAAAATAAAACACAAGCCCATGCAGTCTAGATCTATACCACTGCTCACTCGCTAAGAGTCAAGATCAGCTTCCTTTACAGCCCCTGTGGTGGCCGTCCTGAATTTCTTATCCTCCGAGTTTTCCCAGGGTAAGTCCTATCGGACTATTAACATCTTTTAGAGTGCCACTTTGGCAGCTCATGTTCACTTTCAGGGTTTTTGTGTGGGAAAGGATCCCACGGTCTGTCACCTGCTTCGAGGTATCAGGCTTTCACGGCCTCCCTCTTCGCATTATTCTTTATTCTGGGATGTCTCTTAATTCTTGAGAACTGACCAGATAACATAGGTTGTCTCTATGTCAGCTCTTGGCTAAATTGACCCTTGTCTTTTGTCTTGTGTCCTTTTGCCGTGTTTTGGACATTCAGGCGTTTGGTGTGCAATTATTTTTAGTTTTTCCCCTGAAGGTGTCTCTTTTTCTCTGATGTGTAGGACGAAGTCTAATTCTATTTTGCAGAAAGTAAATGATGGTCCAGCCATTAATGGTAAATCCAATAAGCAGGTTTATTAAAGTAAATGAAAAGCAAACATTTATTTTCTTGATAAAGGCCCTGTTGTGGGTTGATGTAGCTTTTCATCTGCTTCAATAAACCTTCTCACTGGATTAACCTTGAGTGCCTGGACCATCATTTATATTCTTAAATTACATTGTGAGGATTGGCCAACCTCAGGCCCTGTTGCACCCTGGGATTCAGGATAGAGAGGTATCCTATATGGTAATTACACTGAAGTCTAACACTGTCAGTTTTGTACCCATGCTTTCCGGATCAACTACGTATTTTGCGTTGCTTGCTGTCTACGTCATTGTGTTTCTATGTCTTCGCCTCTTCTCAATTCTTCGCATGGTCAGCTTTTGATCTTCTGTCTTTGTCCTTTCAGCGGTATTCATTCCTACAATTGCTCATTGGGTCATATGGCTCCTTGTTTGGCTGGTGTGGAGAGATGCTTCGGAGCTTGCTTGGTTTGTAGCACCACGTTATCGGCGGCCTTGGATTCCGGTGGTCCCTTGTCGGAGATCCTTGTGGCGGTGGACTGGTCTAGTAAATCAACCTTTAGGACATTCTCCTTTGACCGCACGCTTCATTTGCCTTCGTTTTGGAGAATTAAAAAAAGCAAATATAAAGCTTCTTATCCCCCTCCCACATGGTTTTCCTTTTTTATTGTTGGGGGTGTTTGACTTGTATATCCTGTTGTTTGCTTAATGATTCACTTGGTTTCTTAAGTTTGACTCCTCATGCATGCTGTGCTGCATTGCTTGGATGTTTTTAAAATTGTTTGCTTTTATGGTTGTTGATTTGTACAGCACTCTGTGATTACAGTTTAGTTTCACAAGGTCTTTTTCTTCCCAGTTTAATCTGGAATTCTTCAGTTCCCATTGGTTTTTGTTTTGGTTGTGTTAATTCGTTACTCCACTCTTCTTGGAATCTCCTGCTAGACCTAATCAAAGAAAGATGAAGTGGGAGGATATAGCTGGGGGTATTTTGCCCCGAGCTTCTCACCACCTGAAGAGGGCCGTCCATCAGCATGATCACATTGTATGTTCCAGTAAGGTTTATGCATCCAAGGCAGTTTGTTCAAAGCTCTATAACAACTTGCTAAATTGTGTCAAAAAAGGTCGCTTATCGCTCTGGAGTATCTGATGGGCTTCAGGAGAAGAAATATATTTTGGCCAATAAAACCATCAGCGAGTTCACTGTAGATGTTCAAAGCTCTGCATGTGCTCAAGTAATCAGAACCAGACTGCCAATAACAGTAGGGGGCACTGTGATTTTCAGGGAGACTCTCAAGGAGTCTCAACTCTACTGACCTTTATACATCTTCATTGGTAAGGAAATGTGATGGTAGAGCATTGTAGCTGATTCAGTTGAGAGTGGAGAATCTTCAAGACTGCTGACGTTCATACGTATAGCTGTCCAGATATCCTGCAACTTTGGGTATGACCAAGTGTGAAACATATCACCAACAAGTGGCCCGGACAGCTGAGATGTGATAATGTAGTGTTTTTTTTTTTGTATGGTACCACCTTATAAATATTTTATATGAATATTCCTTTATCAATGCTGAGGAGCATGTGTGTGTCAGAATCATTATTTTCTGCCAATCTTCCCTGGAAAGTGCAGCCAGCCAGTAGTGATCAAGCTAAACACGGGAGTGGTAGTGTTGATTGTTGACTACTAGCATCTGATGACACTCCAAAGCAGAGTCTTTGCATCACAAAAAGCTTTCGATAGAGTCAAGTCCACAGTCAAATGTTTTTTCTGGAATCGAAAGGGGATGAGAAACAGAATGATGAATAAATGTTTGAGAGAAGCTCAGGACTGCATTAAGCAACAGGATCAGTGGTGGATGAAGCACCTACTGAGATTGTAGGAAGTGTCGAGCACTTTGTAAAGCCTGGTTCTGGAGAAAAACGCATAGTGGTGTCTTGAAACTTACATAGAAGTCCCAGCTTGATTTTCTTCTTGTATTACTGCTTCTTCTTTTTGTTTTTAAATCTTTCTTTTATTGAGGCAAAGAATAACGGTACAGAATGAAGAAAATAGTTTATAGCAAATGAGTACAAGTCAAGTATACAGTTGTAGCATACATTATAGCCGTGTGCATATCAGCCTAATTAAGTATAGTGGTAAACAAGTTAATATAATTAGACATACTGCTAGGCCAAGGAAGTAGTAGGAAATCTAATAACGAAGAAACACGCTAAAGTCATAGTATGTCAAGCTAGGTGTACATGAGAGAATTATAGTAAGTGAAACATGCTTAGCGGATCGGGCAGGGAGGGTCAGTAGTATTACACAGTAGATATGTTTGCCCGTTTTGTAATGTAGTTAAGTAACAGGCTAACCAGCAAGTGAAGCGCTCTCTACAGGGAGTGCAGAATTATTAGGCAAATTAGTATTTTGACCACATCATCCTCTTTATGCATGTTGTCTTACTCCAAGCTGTATAGGCTCGAAAGCCTACTACCAATTAAGCATATTAGGTGATGTGCATCTCTGTAATGAGAAGGGGTGTGGTCTAATGACATCAACACCCTATATCAGGTGTGCATAATTATTAGGCAAATTCCTTTCCTTTGGCAAAATGGGTCAAAAGAAGGACTTGACAGGCTCAGAAAAGTCAAAAATAGTGAGATATCTTGCAGAGGGATGCAGCACTCTTAAAATTGCAAAGCTTCTGAAGCGTGATCATCGAACAATCAAGCGTTTCATTCAAAATAGTCAACAGGGTCGCGAGAAGCGTGTGGAAAAACCAAGGCGCAAAATAACTGCCCATGAACTGAGAAAAGTCAAGCGTGCAGCTGCCACGATGCCACTTGCCACCAGTTTGGCCATATTTCAGTATAAGGAAGGAGCAGTAAGTGGGGAAAAGTGCTAAATACAGTGCAGGCTAATCACCCCGAAATAGGGATCACTCCCAATCCCAATAAAATACAAGCAAATATGTATAGTTTAAAAAACATATACCACCGGGGGCGCCACAATCACAAACATGTGAATATATTTACCATGGTATGTTCATGGGTATGCATATAAGGAGATAAAAATAAAAGTATATATAGTGAAGTATTTAATAACAAATAGAATAAAATAATAAAAATAATTGCAC